AATGAACTACAGCTACATGTAAAATCACAGGTGAATCTTAGACATCTAAATGTTCAGTGAGATGAGCAGATGTGCAGACTATATGAGTATGAGATCATTACTATAAAGCTCAAATGGAAGCAATGAGTAATAAATATTGCATAGGGACATATTCACATTTGGTCCTTTTTTAAAGTAAGGAATTGACACAAACTTAGGATAGTGGTTCCCTCTGGAAGGGAGGTGGGGAAATGGAATGGAGAGGCGCCCTGCTCCCCAAAGGAAAATTAAATAACTAATCAATTATTAGGTTCCCAGAGAGTGCTTACTGTATTTTGTATCTTTGCTATCAGCTTTGACCGTTATTTATTTACCTTTAGCTACGTTATTTTCTCTTTATTTCACCTGTTTGAGAAATGTCACCTTTATCTCACTTTTCAGAAATAGGGAGCAAAAAATCACCAACATATTTGGGAAAGAAGAATGAATGTAATACACTCCCCAAGCCAACAAGGGTGGGTATTTTGGCCCGGGTTCTCCATTCACGGGTCTTGCCAGCATTTATTTCCACAGTCAGGTTCCCATTCTGCCTCCAAGGAGCTGGAGATGCTAATGTCAGCCTGTTAAGCCTCACACTGAAATTTGCTGCACCTGGTGACGTGGGAGAGCTCCACACTTAAAACATGGGCCCAGAGGAACAATAAAAGTCACTTAGGAAAACTGTAGAATAAGGCTTCTATTTAATGTACACAATTCAGTCTTTGAATGAAGAAACTCGTAAACTGAAAATTACCATTTCACACACATACACACACACACATATATCCCACCAGAAACACACGTGCACAGATCTCAATATAAATATGTCCCTAATGTCAATGGGACACAACTGTCTCATAGAAACATGTTCCAGAAACTTGACCTTATGAGAATCCAGAGCCTTGGAATTTGGGACCATAATCCAAAAATCCTTGGTTAGCTTCCACAAAGACCCACTCATCATGCTTATTAGCATGGTTATGGAAGGTGCATCACAGAAAGAAATTCTATCACATAATCTGCACTGTTGCATCAACTTCCTAAAGCCACCGACACAGTCACAGGCTGAGAAGCTTTTGCATTTAGGCCCACTCTCAACCTCACATTTCTCTCCAAGCACCCACCAAGGTATTTCCTTCCTCTCTCCCTCCCTCCTTTCCTTCTGTGAAATGAATACATATCCTACAAAGTGTTTCATAAGAGAAAAATCTTATAATTTTGTTAATCATATTTCTACAGCAATCTGTCCACCCAACCATCCATTCATTGACCTTTGTTCATCTTCCCATTTGCTTATTTGCTTCCCATAAACATCATTCTGCCTGCAAGTTAGCTTTTCTTTTCATGAATTCTGGTATATTTTATATATTTCTAGGCTTTAATCTTGTTTGTTCTCTCTCACAATGCCTCTTTTCTTTCCCTTGCCACCATATGCCTTCATTCCCAAGCCACCAGACTGTATTATGGGGCATCATGTTTGTGTCTTTGAGCACATACTATCCTCCTTGGCTTTTACTGGCTTCCTATTCTATCTGGCTAGGGAATACCTCGTCACCTATAAACTTTAATCTAGATGTTTCTATTCTTGGTAGATTGCAATCTAGATCTTCTCTTTCTTGCGTCAATACCTTTTTGAAAGGTGACCTTGAACATCCTCTTATCAAGAGGTACAGAGTCTGTTTTCATATAGCCTTGTGAGCTTCTTTGGCATATACAATGCAGCAGAAGTGACTGTTCTGAGCCTAGGCCTCAAGAAGCCTTGCACACTGCCATTCACTCTCTTAAACCCTCCTCTGCCACCATGTAAATAAGCCCAGGCTAGTCTGCTAGAGAACTGATTTAACTCAACTTCATCCAATCCATTACCACACATGTGAGTGAAGCTATTTTAGACTATCTAGCCCAGAGGTCCCCAACCTTTTTGGCACCAGGGACTGGTGCTCCTATGAGAATCTAATGCCCGATGATATGAGGTGGAGCTGAGGTGGTCATGCTAGCGCTGGCGAGCGGCTGCAAATACAGATGAAGCTTCACTTGCTAGCTTACTGCTCACCTCCTATTGTACGGCCCGGTTCCTAACAGGTCACAGACCGGTACTAGTCTTTGGCTGAGGGGTTGGGGACCCCTGATCAAGCCCTCAGCCAAGCTGACAACTGACTGCAGATTCATCAGTGAATCCAACTAAGATCAGCCAAGCCTGGCCCAGATCAGAACTCAACTAACCACAGACTCATGAGCACTAGTATTTGCTTATTGTTTTAAGCCACTGAGTTATGACATCAATTTGTTATGCAGCAACAACTGATACTCTTTCTTGATTCTATTTTATATCCACAAATACTTCTATTATAACCCTTACATCATCACATGTTTTCCTGTCTTTCTCTTCCTCAAATGTGTGAACTCCTTGAGCACAGAGTCAACTTTTGTTTTGTATCCCAAAATCTAAATAGCACCTGGAAACTCTTCAATAAATGGCTGTCAGAAAAATAGCAATGATTAATTAGTTAATTAAGGATTACAATGATGCCCAAGGGCTGCCCCGAGACCAAGGTGTCATACATGCATTCATGATTAGAAGACAAAGTGCATCCTGTGTGATGCAGGAAGGACCCTGGGAGCTGTACCGGTAAGTCTCAGTCTTCTCTGATGCTTGCTGGGCTGGCTTTCTCCTGCCGCATCTTAGTCTTTATCCTTTGCCTTTATTATAGCTTTACATGTTTTTCAATTACCTGACACTGTATAATTGCTGTACTGAGGCTGTTTTCTAACAACCAAACCCTTTGAAAGGAAACTGGGATAGAAGAAGGTTGTTACAGCACCCAAATTTAGAACCATTTCAGAAAGTTATGAGTATTGGAAAGCAGGGCTCTGTACTTTGCTGAGCTCTTAAAATGCTGTTTGGCTGAGTTACCACAAAAATTTATCTGAACACAGATTTAGAGGTTGGTCCATGCTCCAACAGTGGCCACTGGCGTCGTGCAGGCTTGGCCAACGTCATTGCATAATTTCTTACCCTCTCACCCTTTCTTACCCCTTCTCTTCCACAATGGTCACATAGTCTAACATATGAAGTTCTCACTGTGGAAGGTGTTTCTTTCTCTGACTTCTCTGGCAAACGTTGCTTAAACCCACATAGTCTTGTCTTTTCAAAACAATTTTAAGTAGTATTTTAGTTTGTCCTTCAGTGTTTCACCTAGGAATAACCCAGTATGAAAGTTTTAGCTTTGAAGTCATGCTTGAATGACCTAAGCCACCAGTCTTTAAAAAACTTACAGGTTTCTTATTGGGAAGGGTACCCTTCACACAGTCTACCTCTCATGCGTGGTCTGAGTAACAATATTCTCAGAAGTCACAGACCATGCAGAGAGGAGGAGAGGAGTAGCAGAAGCTTCTGGAAGGCTCCAGTCACCAAGTGTTATAAGATCATCTGCCTAGAACATGAGATTTCAGAGCAGAATTTTACTTCTTTTCACAGTTTGACATTGACCTTCTCTAAGTTTCAAAAGCAGGCCACACATATATATCACAAGCTGTTCTTTTAAACAGTGAAATAAATAACCATTTGAGTGTTGCATATTAAAACACAAATGAACATCATACCTTTCATATGAAAATGAGAATTATGTTGGTCATCTAGTTTAATCTAGCTGAAGCAGATGCAAAATATATCTTAAATCCATCTATCCCTAATGCCATGTCCCTAGGCCAACTCCATCATTTCTTACCTGGGTGACAGCATCCTGTTTCTCACTATTACTGAGCCCCTACCTTATAGCCAAGTAAAGCAGAACAGTTCTTTAAAGAAATGTAATATAAACTCACACCTCTACCAATAACTCTCCAACAGCTTCTGGAATAAAATCAACAAACTTTTTCATGTCTACAAAGCTCTCCAACTTCATCTCCTAACTCATGCTTCTCTAAATCCTCTCTCAAAGCAATACAGGTCTGCTTTCTGAGCCCTGAACATGTCCACCCAGATCCTGGTTCATGACACATAAAATGTCCTGTCTTTAAACCTTTACTCAACTGGCTCTTTTTCATCGTTCAACTCTCAGCTCAAAATTCTCTGAGTGGTCTGTTCTGACACTCAGACTGAAGTAGCCCCTCAATCGCCTCTATCTCCTTAACAGTTTACCATGTTCATAAACTTTATTAATGATTACATTTATTTATAATTTTTGTACTTATTTATGTACTTATCTCTTCCCACTAGAATGTCAACTCCTTCCAGGCCACACACTCTTGCCTTTTTTGTTCACTGTCATGTCCCTAGTGCCTAGGACAATTTGCAGGCATGAAGAAGTCACCCAATAAATATTTGTTGAATAAACAGAAGTGCTTTCCTGCTCTTTTACTACTGCATACTTTTTCTTTTTTTATTGAGATATAATTGACATATAACACTATATTAGTTTCAGGTGTATGATTTGATATTTGCATGTCTTGTGAAATGATCACAACAAGTCTAGTTAACATCCCTCACCATACACAGTTACGACTCTTTGTTTTCTTGTGATGACACCTTTTAAGACCTACTCTCTTAGTAACTTTGAAATATGCAATACAGTATTTTTAACTATAGTTACCACACTGTACATTACATCCCCAGGAAAATTTATTTTATATCTAGAAGTTTGTACCTTTGACCACGTTCACTCATTTTGCACCCCTTCCCCCTAAACTCTGCCTCTGACAACTACCAATCTGTTCTCTCTATTAGATTTGTTGTTGTTATTATGATTATTATATTATTATTACTATTATTTTAGATTCTGCATTTAAGTGAGATCATACAGCATTTTTCTTTTGTCTGACTTATTTCACTTACCATAATGCCCTCAAGGTCCATCCACATTGTCACAAACAGCAAGATGTCTTTCTTTTCTATGGCTGAATAATTTTCCATTGCGTATATACATGTGCATAATTCAAAACAAAATTTAAAAGGGCAAAATCACAACAATTTATTCCCCTACCTTTTTTCGATGGCTGTGGATGAATCAGACTCCTGAGGAGTGTGGCTATTTCTGCTCTGCAACTTTTCGTTGGAGTTCTTCGGCGTTCTTCATTTTTCTTCAGTGTTCATTTTGGCAAGAGGTGGAAGCATTTTGCCACAGTGTATTTCTGTAACAACATGGTACCAACATGAGTCAGAACCACACCAACATTATGCTCTGTTTAAAAATAAACATATAACCTCTTTTACTTCATATTTTCCTACATGCTGTACATCCTTTCTTTACTGTTTCTATTATTTCCTCGGGCATGCAGCTACTGATCCAGGCAGTGCGAGACGCACCCTAGTACCTTGCCTGCATCTGTCACAGCACTTTCTCTAATAATTCCACTGTGAGTCCATCTCTCCAACAGATGGTAAGCCCAATGGGGACAGGAACTGTGCCTTTGGTCCCCGAATCTCTGGGGCCTACCCCACTAATTTGTAATTGCACATGTTTAATACAGTCGATTCTCATTATTTACAGTAGTTATGTTCTATAAAGTTGCCAAGAATAATGAATTAAGGAATGCCAAACCATTGCTCCTAGGGGAAATACATAATAAGGTTTCTGCTAGTCTGACCCCAACATTTTCATCAACAATAGTTTTACAGTTTTATGTATGTTTCTGTATAAAGACACCTTATTTAATATATATTGTTGATTCATTAACATTCAACTCACAGCCAACAGCACTGTAATTCATACCTGAATGAAGCTTATTTCAGACATATATTTTCTTTATAAGGCACATCACACCCTTCTTGCACTTAGGAACACTACATAGCATTTCATCACTATGCTGTGTGGCCATTTCAAAAAGTAAAATCACCAGAAATGGAAAAAAAAATGAAAAAATGAATTTGTAAATATAAAATCCATAAATAATAAGGACTGATGATATTCACATTGGTTGATTCAAAGTTATATGTAGATATATGTTCCTAACTTTATGGTTTAGCACAGTACTGCTATTTAGATGAGTAAATAATAAATACTCCGAATAGGGTAGAAAGACACTAAATACCGATTTCACATGCTTCATGAAAGATACAGGAACTGAAAGCAGTTATTCTCGCCTAACCTAATAAAAAGACAAATTCCAGATCCCAGTTCTTTTCTTCCTCCTGATATTAATCATCACTCATCCAATTTTCAGACAAGTGCAAAGAAAACTTCCTGAAAATAATTATAGGTTGATAGTCCACCTTATTCACTATGAGACAACCCAAACTGCTCCTAGAAGATGGCTCCATTTTTCTCCTTGGATAATAAGAATACCTGCTTTTATTTTATTACATGTATCAGTTAACTGTAGGCACGACGTATACACTTAGCAGACTTCTATTTTCTGTAAAAATGCCAGTACTCTGTGACACAGAAAATGAAGGTTTCACACTTTAAGTATCTACTTTCTACTGCATTTAAAAATGTTTTAAATGCTGTTGCAAAGATTTTCCAATTAAGTTTACCTCCCAATATTTTAAATTGGTTAAATTCAACCTTGATTTATTTGCAGTTCGTGGAAAGTAACTTGGTAAAATCACCTTCTTGAAGCATGCCCTATGTGTTAAATTATCATTGCTAAGATCAGTAGGACTTGCTAAACAGCAATGTTTTGCATAGGTAACGAGAAATCCTAGAAGGATGGTTCTGAAAGCTCAGTTCTTATGTGCTCTTTAAATTTTTATTTTTTATTTTTCAATAGAATTGACATTCAATATTTTATATTAGTTTCAGATGTACAACATAGTGGTTAGACAGTTAGAATTGATGAAATGATCCCTCTGTTCCTATGTACTTTTAATTTAGTTCGAAATTGGTTGCCAGATAAGAGGGGGGTTGGGAGGCCAGGTGAAAAAGATGAAGGGATTAAAAGTACAAACTGGCAGTTACAAATAGTCACAGGGATGTAAAGAATAGCTTAGGGAATATAGTCAATAATATTGTAATAACTGTAAGGTATCAGGTGGGTACTAGACATGTTGGGGGGATCACTTTGTAAGTTATAGAAATGGCTAACCATTATGATATACACTGAAATTAACATAGCATTAAATAACTGTACTTGAATAAAATTTTTTTAATTTAGTTCAAAATCAGCTAAAATATAAGTAGACATAATTTCCTTTGAAAGTCCTGTGATATTCTCTTCATATATTTCAGAGTATCAGAAGATAAGTCATCTTATCAGGAAATACGATTTCAAGACGGATAAAACCATATGGTCTACTGCATAACAATAACATAATTATATATGTTACAAAAGTAATACCTTGACCCAGAAAAACAAAATGAAATAAAGTATCGTATTTTTATACTTTATTAATAGCATTACATTACACTTTATATATAATTAACGAATACTTGCTTTAAGCTTATTTTGTAAGAATCAGAATTACTTTTAATTTTCTAATTATTCTGCTATTTAAACAACCAAATTAATAAAAAAAAACCAGACGCCCTAAACTTACTTTAATATGTGCTTAGATAATCGCTAAAACTCTCCTTTCAAATCTCTTTCTCTTTAAACATACCACTAGGAAATCATTATCCGTCTATCTCTGATAAAGCCATATTGCCATTACTGACTTTAAAAAAGCAGTCTGAGTGTTCAGTAAACTATGTTCACATAACAGCTATATCATTCTGAACCTATTGATAATGTATATCATAATATGAGTTGCTGATGCCAATTAAATTTAATATTTAATATTAATTAATTTTAATACAATTTAATATTTAATATTTCTAACCTTCAAGAAGAAGGGGTTGGCTTTGAAATCCACAGACATGGCTCCACCTTGTACTAGCTGCAAGGTTTGGGGCAATTAATTATTCCCTGAGTATATTTACTCATCTGAAAAATAGAGATGGACACTGTTTTCTAAAACATAGTGTGGTCTTTAGGATAAAGAGATAATGGCCTATGTAAAGTTCCTGGCCAATAATGAATAGTATAAAATGTTAGCTCTTGTTTTTATTAATTACAAAACCAACACAAGTAGCATTTTAGATAACTGAATTTCACTCTTAAAACCTAAAAACAGTGACTTGTGCCTATGAATAATTTGGGGAAAAAAAGTCATAGTTTACCCACATTTCACTTATCAGCAAAATAAGCATCTCTATGACTGAGATGTGTTTGTGTGTGTGTGTGTGTGTGTGTGTTATAAAAATAGGCATATACCTATCACAGAAGCATAAGTTTTTATTACATAAGCCTATGCCATTTGGCACATTTCATTTCCATAGATTCCATTTCTCTGGTAAATTGGCCCCTTAATATTGGGCATCTTGACCATCAGGTCAAACAAAAAAACAAAAACTTCATCACAAATGGCAGCTGAGTCTGAGATATGGATATATTATTAGACTCAATAGCAAATTACTAAAACAAAATTCTAAGATTCCATTTTATGCAGAACAGAACAAAGATTCACCATCAGATACATTAGTACAAACAATTCTAGTCCCTGAACACATTTTTTTTTTCTCCATACATTCAAGGATAAATATCCTATGCAGATACATTTTAATGTGCTTTAGATCCAGGATGAAACACCAAGTCAGTCCTGCAATCTTAAAATATTTGTTGGATTATTCACCCTTTTATCCACTTCCCCTTGTACTCAGAGATGCAAATTTTTTGTTAGGTTTAATGTGTGGTTTGTGCTATTATGTTAGAAAAATAGGAATTTTTTAAAAATCTCTCTTTCTCAAAGAGAATTGGCAATAACCTTGGCCTCATTAATATTGAGTCCTGGCCAAATGAACTCCAATGGGTTATGAAATCATGAAAGATGCTAAATCTCATCAGGTCAAAATCTTCCAACAACTCTGAGACACGGGGGTCAGAAGAGGAAAAAATATGGATTGTATATAGAAAACCTAACACACAATTTAGTTTTTAACCTTTTTATTATTTTTACTAAAATGGAACCATTCCAAAAAATTAATATGTATCATTCTTGAAAATACATCTTCAGTACCGTTCCATTTTATAATAGCTTTCTCTTTGTGCATATTTTATAATATGGATAATTCTATACCTTCAGCTAGATGCTGTTCTCCTCATCTAATAGGAAAACTCTAGATACGCAAAGGGTTTCATTAACTAGGTTTGACAGTGTAAAAGCAAAGCAGAAAACAAGCTGGCAGACAGTTTAATACAAACCTCCTCTGAGGAATTGAAAACAACATCACATTTGTTTCCTGCTACTCACCTGCCCCTCTGTGATCTCTGTATATAATAAAATATTTATAGCCAGAGCTCAGCATCTCTCTTTCCCCACTGTTGGAATAAGGTGTGTTCTGCTTCCATGGGAGAAAGTAACATAATAGAAACACTGAAACTTTGAATAAATAATTTTGAAGAAGTAGAAAACCTAATCTGCTCAAAAATGGATTTTCTTTCATTCAAAGCAAGATAACTGTGACATATGGGACTGCATTTTTGCAGTAATTATTTATGCACTTGTCAACTGCTCTGAATCCTCTCTAGGGAAACTTCCCAGGAAACTACAGAAATACTTGCAGGCTTTGGATTTCCTCAAATATGCGTTGAGCACTATTTTATTTTTCTTTTCAGGTAATAATGATTTAAAAAAACAATCTCACCTTTTCCTATAGGAAAATATCCTGTTTGAATGTCTGGCTTCTATGAGACATTTCCCCTCAGACAATGGAAGGATCGAGCTTTTCAGGGTGGTGAATCTAGGTAATGCTCTCATGCCAATGCTCTTTTCATTTGGAAGAGCAGTTTATAATGTATTGGCTTTTATTTTCGGAGTAACTATTCTTTATGCTGAAAAACCAAGCATCAATTAAATGTGGATATACTGGTTTTCTGGTTGAACAGAAAAAGCACTTAAAGTTTTTATTTGCTAGCTGTCCAGGTTCTAGCCACATGGGCATGTGCTTGCTTTCTGAACTTGACCGACTAAACTAGTCTGTATCCAAGCTTCCTCACCTTGAACCCAAGGTAATGACAGCACGTACTCACATGATAGCACATACCCACACAATTTTCAGAGGATTAAATTAGATAATATGTGCTTAAGAACTTTAGATACTCTGAATCACTCACTATACAACATTAGGTTTAGAAAAACTACTTTAATTCCT